AAATGTTTTAACTTAGGCTTTAGTAATCTTTAACCAGGTGTTATGCATTACTATGTTGCCAGATATTCGTAAAAATAAATATGTAATATTATTTATTATTTATATATAATAAACAAATAATTTTTATTATGCAAGCAAGCAACATAGCAATAGTAGTTAATATACTGTATAATGTATAATGTAACATTTTATCAACAGCTTAGAACATGCATCATCCAATCAGAATCTAGAGTCACTATATCAGCCAATCAGCATCCAAGACCAAAACTATGTGTTTTATAAAAAAATATTATATTACATGGTGTTTTTTTTTCCTCAGCAAAAAGAGGCAAATATTTATTTATACAGGTAAAATTATCAATAAAAAATTAAATATATGTATTTAAATTTATTTGGGTTATTTCAGTCATTCTGAAGAAGGCGATAAGTCTAATGTGTTGCCAGATATTAGTGTAAAATAATTCATAATTCATTTGTTTTGATTAAAGTAATTTGTCTTGAAACTACGACGTGAAAATGGGGAGAATTGGTTTAGCTAAACGTCCCATAAGCTCCTGTGGAATTGTCATGGCAGATTTACACATCATAAATCAGCAGCTGTTCTCTTTAGACACACTATTCTAGTCTCGTGACTTCATTTCTCAAAGCATCTTCATAAGCATATCTGAGAGACGATATTTAACATGTTAGCACTTCTTTCCATTAGCAGCCAGTTACTGCATTTTAAATGTAAGCTTCATTAAAGCTGCTGTCCTATAAACATCCTGAACATCACCATTTAATACAATACAATACAGTATGGGCACTTTTAATAAAGAGTTTAGTTTAAAATTCATATGAATGTATAGGCGGGCAATTTATATTTTTAGATGTTGTTACCACATTCACGCCCCATGATTACAATATGTTTTATATTTATATTTCAATATAAATAATTTGAATAAAAATAATTTGAAAATAAATCTGACCAGATCAATCAGTATTTTTAGGGTCAGATCAGGTAGAAATAAGATAACTGCATATTTTCACTTTGTACAGTGCGCAATCCAATATTAATATATATGTAAATATGAAATATTAATGATAATTACTACCTAACTTTAATCTTACTACCTGTTTAAGTTGTTATAAAATGTTGCCCAAAAATACTTTACATTTTAACATAAAGATATGTAATTTATTCTAAAGTGTTATCATGCATATTTAATACTTAACATATAAATATGCATGAAATATATGAATAATTGTAACTTTTTGAATGTGCATTCATCTCTTAAGCATTAGAACATAATACTTTTCGTTAACTATATAATTAAATGTTTAAATGATATGAACCTTGCATATTTAACACTTCAAATGTATGTATGTTATATGAGAAAAAATGTGCATCACAGTTTTAACTCTTGTCCATTAATCTGTTAGTCATTATGTAAACATAATTAAAGGTGCAGGGTGCATGTTTAATACTTAAAATATAAATATGTATGAAATATATGAAAGAAAATGTACATGCTTAATGCACCTTAATCTGTTAAGCATCATATACAATAATGGCATCATTTTGTGGTGAAATTAAATGTTACATTTAAATATTCAAATATGAACGTTCTGAAAAAGTGTTACTTTGCACATCAAATCTTTTGCCTCACCATCCCAGCTGAAGTTCTTGTCCCACACCGACCACATCTGCACGGTGAAAAACGGCGCCCAGCAGATGATATACGCGAGAACAATGACGAAAGTCATCTTGACGGTGCGTAACTTCGCTCTGGAGATCGTGGTGACGCTGCTCACAGAGCTCTTCCCGATCAGCCCGTTCTTGTGCGCGCCATCCGCAGGCGTCTTCTTGGTCTTATATCTGATGTTCATCCTGATGCTGTGGCATATGAATCCGTAGCAGGTCATCAATATGATCACCGGGATGAGGAAAATCCCCGCTGTGATCCAGGTGATGTAGGCGCGGAGTCCCCAGGGCTGGATGAAGTGACCCCAGCAGTCGTAGACCTCCGAGCCGTTCTGGATCTCACTGAGGGAGAAGATGAAGTACTGAGGGGTGCTGAGGAGCAAACTGCTGACCCACGTGCCTGCGATCATGATGTGGGACCTCCGGGTGGACTGCTGGAGGGTCTTGAGAGGGTGGCAGATGGCGATATAGCGATCTAGAGTCATCATGACCATCATGTAAGTGGACGCGAACATGCCCATCACCTGCAGGTGCTTGACGATCCTGCACAGAAAGTCCGGACCGTAGAAACGGAAGGTTATTTCCCAGCACAGCTGTGGAAGGACTTGGAAAAACGCGACCACCAGGTCTGCCAGGCTCAGGTGTTTGATGAACAGATGCATGCGGGAGGTTTTCTTCTTGGTGTTGTGAACGGCCACCAGGACGCTGCAGTTCCCGATCACGGCGACCGCGAAGGTGACGCTGAGGACCGCGATCTCGATTTTCGCGACTTCTTCGTCGCGTCCGAACGGGTCGGTGGAGTTGACCGGGCGCGACGTGTTGCTCAGGTGTCCCATTGTAAGATTCGCCGAGAATAACAGCAGTCCGACGCGTTGAGATGCGAGCGAACGGCGTGCGTAAAAGGAAACGCCGGTGTCCCGTTGCGCGCTGCTCCGCTATAACTGGAGATGCTGAAACCTAGTAGTTAACTATCTGTGTTAGTAACCAAAAGGCTGGAGATTTAAATCCCACAAGGGTTGAATCATAAACTATCTCCATTTTGCCCATGACTTATTCAAGGAGACCTTTAGAGTTACAAAGCGTCTCCAAACAAGTAATCGTCGATTTCTAATTATCAAGATCTAATGCCTGTGCAACCTAGAGCTCCAAATGTCTCTCCTCGACTGTCTGTGGCTCTGCTCGAAGCCTTTTAAACCCGCCTCAGATTTCAGTCAAACCCACCGGTGTTCAGCAGCTCAATCCTATAGTTTAGAGTACAGACAAACCCTACGCCCACCCACCGGACCCTAGAGTAAACTCCCCTCCTAAAGTCAGCTTTTTGTGAAGATCAGCCTTGACACATTCCCATAGAGTACAGAACCATAAATATTCTCACACTGTAACTTGGGTCGGGAACAGGATCGGCTCATCTTTTTTTATTTTTTAAACCAATTAAAATTAATTAAAAAGTATATAGAAATAAATAGCTTTAATAGCAATTATTATTGACATAATTTCCATGACAATTAAGCACATTTTCTTTAATTTCTCATGACTGTGAAAGACCACAAAAACACAATTAAACAAATAAAAAAAGAAAAATTATTTGAATACATACATACAATATATTGCAAAAATAATGTCTGGGTCAAAAACATGGCTGGGTCACTTTTCACTCTAAAATACAATAAAATTATTAAAATTAAATGAATGAATTGATTCATTAAATGAATCAAATATTGACGTCATTTTCGTGACAATTAAGCACATTTTCTTTGCAATTCTCATCACTTAGTTAAGTAGAACTGTTATCTAAAAAGCAATGATATATTATTTACATGCAATATATTACAAAATAATATATTATTTTAATTGTGTCAAGACAAACAAACTTCTAAGTAGCCCATTGTATGTTAAAAACAATGAAGTATTATTTCAAATTGTATTATTATTTTAATACAAACCATATATTACATAATAATTTTGAAATATGTTAGTTACATTTCAGCTGTAAACACAGTCAAACTAGTTTCCCACATTTCTGGACATTTAAGACCTGACTAAGCTCTTTAAAAAATTCAGTTTCCTTCAAATAAAGAATGATTTGTTAATGAATTATTCGGACCAATTTGTGAATCATTTGGACAATGCATTTAAAATAACCAGCTCAAAAGAATGATTTGCTCAGACCACACATCGTAATGACCTGTGAGGACGTTGTACTGAATAAAAGAGCAATCAATATTAAGCCAATTCAATATTTTAGAGCTGAACATCCTGAGAATCCTGTATTAAATATGAGCCGTATTAAATGAATATGAGCTGTATTAAATGAAAGAGCCGTCGCTGTCGCTGTCTCAGACGAAGACAAAACAAAATGTTCTAGAAGAGTGAAAACAGGATTTCTGATCAGTAAATCAATAACTTCTAAGAACTTATAAACTAAGGCCGATTTGTTATTAGTGTCCTAAAACTCCACATTCTCTCCAGTTTGTTACGGTGACCTGAATGTCATGTTTATTTATACGCAACTGTTCAATTTGATCAAGACGATGTGAAATAAAGCTTTAATCAGTGAAATTGAACTAAGACTAAACGAAAAAGCATTCAAAATAAAACAAGTAAGGTTGCATGTGACCGGTTTGTTTGCACAAAAGTTCGATTTGCATTGAATAGATTTGAGATTTGTTTATTTTCTGTAGAAATGTGAGAGGTAATTGTCTGTGCTAAATGCGTCACTGGGTAATGCACAAGTTTGTATGCTGGCAGGCAAATGATTCATCTGAGCTGCATTTATTTTATGGATCATTTGGTGACTCTCACTGTCTCACTTTATTCGGCTAATGGCACTGGATGGGCAGCAGTTCTGCAAATCTGTGCTTCTCAGCTGGTTTTGCTTCAGAACAGATTTCACTTTGGACAAGTGACCCAACACAGTCCCAGAATTAAAAAAAGTCCTTCAAAATTAACATGATTTACTGGATGCATGATCTTTGACATTAAAGTAATGGTTCACAAATTCGCTGAAAATGTGTTCACCCTCAGGCCATCTGAGATGTAGATGAGTTTGTTTCTTCATCAGATTTGGAGAAATGTAGCATTGCGTCCCTTGCTCAGCAATGGATGTGAATGGGTGCCGTCAGAATGAGAGTACAAAAGAGCTGATAAAAACATCACAATAATCCTCAGCACTCCAGTCCATCAGTTAACATCTGGAGAAGACAAAAGCTGTGTGTTTGTAGCAAACAAATCCATCACTTTTAACTTTAAAACTTAGTTTCTGGACAAAATGTGAATCAATAATCCATAATAACGCTTCCTCCAGTGAAAACGTACATCTCCTGTTGTCTCTCACGTCAACATCCACACACATATTTGTTTAGAGCTGTTCTGGACTGTTTAAAC